CGGCGCCTGCCCGGCCCTGGTCTCGGCGCCCCGCCGCGTCGCCGGCTGTAATCCCGATCTCTGTCCCGGTTCTCTTTGCCTTCCTCACTGGGTTCTGGCTGCCCGCTGTCCTTCTGCCCCGAGACGCCTTTTTTCTTCCCAACCATTTCCCAGGAATGCTGAAGTTTAGCAGAGGGGGAAAAGTTCAACATTTGATCAGTGCTGGGTGCGGGCTACATGCATCATTTAACATCCTGGGGAGAACAGAGCGTGGGAAGACAACTGCTCCACTAAAACCAGATAGGCACTCATCCAAAGCTTCACAGCCCAGCCGCTAGCCACTTCCTCTCCACTGTAGGAGCCGACAGGCGCCTGGCCGCTTTTGCTCCAAGTCCCCCCACCAGGCATGCTTGGTCCTCAGTTTGCAATCTTTCACTGTACGTGATGTCTGAGCCCCAAAGGGCTCCGATTTGCCATCAAAGCAGGCATGGGCAACTGTAAAACAGGACTGTCGTCTGCTGACCTGCGGGCAGTTGTAGCAGGCAGAGGGGGGCATCGCTCTGTGTGTGTTTTGGTTCAGCCCATCTCAAAGGGCTTGAGCTGGGCTGGTGCTCAGAACTGCAGGGACTGAAGAACGAACCATTCTCTCCACACGGGGGCCAGTCTGACTTGACTCAGGCTAAGCCGGCCAGGCAGGGTAATTACTTGTCCTCCAAGGGAAAGGAAAGGATTCCTCAATGGCCACTAACTACTTCAAAGTTCCAGTGATGGCTCAGCTCCTTACCTAGGGCTCTCAGGCACAGATCTGTGTTAAGTCACTCACCTCAGAGAAGGCCCAATTAAAGGATCGCTAGAAAAACATCCTATTATCTCAATCACTTGTACAGCAGTTCTTTGGGCTGCAAGCGGGGGAAGGACCTGCCTGTGCTGTGGCAAGACCACCCAAAAAGGTGTTGCTTGCTTAAGCCACAGCATCTGTCCCTAGAACATGTTAACTCATCCCAGGGCACCTACTGGCTTCTCTGCACAGCTCTCTGGTTCCAGGGAGGAACGCATTGCGAGCGGCACCAAATCAGAATACTGAGTTTAGTTCAACACACTGCCACCTCCTTCCCTGCACCCATGGCAGACTGACTGCATGCCAGTATGAACTGGTTTCACATTCATAGCGAACCGACCCTGTACACTGTTAGCACAGTTCCCGTGGAGTCGCCTGCCACTGACAAACCTGAAAACCTGACTCGCTGACTAGTGGACACCACATCAGAAAGTGGCAAAAAAGCTTTTAGGCACAAGCTGTCCTCAAGCCAGAGGCGTTTCTCTTCACAAGCAGCGGACTCAGAAGGAAGTCAGGATAATATTTACCTGGGACAGCCCAGCCAGAAACAAAACCCAACTCAGAGCGAGCCCAGACTCAGGACTGCCTGCTTTCCAACTCTTGGAAGGGACACAGTAAGCAGGCCAGCCAGCACTCGCTAGCTTACTGCACCTTTGAGACGTGTGATCAAAAGGCGCGTCATCTCGTCAAACGACTTTTCACCCATTTGTTCAGCAGAACACAGGCCTGGCGCAGCTCCGAGCGCTCTCACCCATGACAGCGGAGATGCAGACTGATCCGATTGCCGCAGGTGGCAACCTGCAAGCCTACCTGTGGCACCACACACTGAAGTAGCAGCTGGCGCTGGGTGGGTTTTACCCTGCTGATGCCGGTGTCTGGCACTGCACGTTCCCAGTGCCCGAGCTGCCCATGATAGGAAACAGGGCACACCTTCACGCTTTACAGAACCCACACAATTAGCTTCACGAGCAGCTTGTTCATTTAAGCTTGTGGGGTTTTAACGGCACATCAGTTTTACTGGAAAAAACTCCGGCAGGGATTCTGAGTGAAGCAAAGACTCACAACTAAGACTGGCCTAGATTAGATGCACCCGTTCTTTACTCCCTTTTTCAAGGGAACACACAGCGAAGCAACAGCCCGTTTCTGCATGCTGCTGGGCAGAAAGGACTGGCCTCAAACCCACGTGCCTCAGTGATGGCATGGAAGCAGCCACCATGCAGACAGTACAGAGCTCGGTGGGCAACAGGGCACTTGGGGGTCCCCGGATCGGAAGGAGACGTCATGCAGAATATGGGGAGCAGGGGGCACCGAGTTCTGTTATTGGAATGTCTCAAACTCGGAGCCAGACAATTTGGTTAAGATCAACCTTCCCGCGCCAGCAGTACCCCCCTGTGGCCAGACAGGCAAGCTCTGACCTTCCGCGGCGGTGTGGAAGGGCCTGACAGCTTTGCCATGGTTCAGCGAGTTCCATGGGTTGGAACAGAATTGGCCTTTTGGCTGCTTTACCCTGAAGGCGGTGGACGCCCCCAGGCACACGCTGGAGAGCTTCCTTCGGGCAGAGGCCCACGCTAAGAATGAGCAAATGAACCCCGCAGCTCAGGTCTAACTAGCAGGACACAGTGCACCTAGCAGCGCTGGGCCCACCATGCCACGCAGCAGGGGCAGGCCATGCCATGGCAAACGTGTCAGCTGGGAGACAGGGTTGCACCGAGAGCAGGGTACAAAGCTAGGGCCAAAGCTGTTAAAGGTCAGGAGATGCAGAAAGGAACAGAGGTTTACTAAGTGCCTGCCTGGCCTCCGTTCAGCTGACTGTACCACTGACCTGCTCCCCAATGCGCACATAGGAGAGGTTGTCGAACAAGCCGGGGCATGGCCCTGTCAGATACGCTGCCCTGTTAACTGTCAGGGCCTTCTGACTCACTGTGCAGAAAGCCCTTCACAGGCGCTCCTACCCCGCGTGCTCTTCAGACGCACTCAGCTGCGTTACCCGGAGCTCGCCAGCACCTCCCGGGCTGCACAACACCAAGCAAAGCGGAAGGAGTCCAGTCCTACCGTGTCCGGATTCCCCTCCAGCAGCACGTTGATGGCTCTGTTGACATCCCCGTTGCAGTCGTGCAGCGCAATGACACACTCGTCTTGGTTCTTGCCCGTAATATCAATCAGCTGTGGGGAGGAAGACCATAGTCAGCTCATTCCAAGCCCAGAGAGGACTGACACCTCCTTAGAGCTAAGAAATGCCTGGGGGTCGAGGGGAGAGAACTCTTCCGCAATTGCACAAGAGAAGAGCTACCAAGAAGTGTTCAGGTGCGGACGTCTCCTCGCTGCCCCTTAGTTTAACCCTGTGTCCCAAAGGCACAGTGGGCAGCCAGAGACCCCAGAGTGCCCCACGTCTCAAGTCCTAACGTGCCCTCTTATCTGTCAGCACGGAGGCAGAGCCGACAAAGGGGTGAGTGCTGCAGAGAGGACTGACAGGCTGACGGCACAACCACAAGCTCTGACAGACGCAGCTTATCGTCACCAGGGTAGCTCTCCCGGGGTCTGCCCCCCTGCAGAGATCTCTGAGTGGGAACAAGACGACCCTGAGGGCAGGCCTCCACCTGGCCCAGCAATGTACCGAGTTAGCTGCCCCCTGGACCTGCTCTCCCTCAGCCCTCCAGCTCCAGCATGACAACCCGAGCCCATCAGGGCTTATTTCAGCGCTGCCACTGTCCTCAGCCAGCCCTGAGCCCAAGTTCAACCCAGCTGACCCTTCGGCTCCTTGAGACGGAGCTTGCAGCTCCCAGGCTAGCTAGAGAGACCGCTCCAGCCCGTGTTTGCCCCGCACTCACTTGTTTCACCTTCTCCTCAAAGTCAGCGTCGTTGTGGTCCGAGATCATCTGTGCAAGTCGAATCTGTTCTGCAGTGGCCTAGAGAGATTGCAGACGACAGCGGAGAAGGGTTAGTGCCGTGCATTTCAAACGCCCTTCTAAGCACTTCCGGGAGAACCCCAGTGAGGAGAGTGGAGAAGAGGGGCACACGGGGGTGGTCACAAAGTGGAGCTAGATGAAAGAGGCAGGTGGCGAGGTCTGAAGAATGCCATGCCACTGAATAACTTCTCTGTGCCCCTGGGAGCCAACAGTCACGCAATAAACTAACTTCCCAGGACAGCTCCCTCAGCACAGGCAGGAACTAGAACCTCAAAGCAGGGGTTTCAGCTCAGGCTCCCACCTGGAGACACTGAAGCAGTGACCACACTGCCAGAGCGCCTGTTAGCCTATCCACCTGCCTCGAACAGCAGCACCCGTCCCCAGAGGGGCAGCTGTTCTGGGAGGTACGTCAGGCCAGTGGTTCTCAGCCAGGGATCCGTGCTGCACGGGGGTTCTGCAAGCTGGTTTCAGGTGGTCAGAGGGCCCCACGGCTGAAGCATGGGGCTGAAACTGGGAGAAGAGTCGCAGGAAGCCCTGAGCCCCGGCACCCCAGGGGGGCTGAAACCAGGAATGGAGGAGACTCAAGGACTGAAGCCCCAATCACTGGCACTCCCACCAGTTCCAAAGCCCTACGCCTAGAGGCACTCCCCTGAACCGCCCACCTCCCCAACCGGGGAGCCCTGAGCCCCCCCCCCCACCACCACCCACCCTGTGGCTAAACCTTGAACCCTGCCTGGTGGCTGAAGTCCAGTTCGCAGAGCCCCCCACTCCCCGAAGCCCAGAGTCCCACAGAGCTAGTCTCCACCCCCCCCATCCACATATATCAAATGGCTGAAGCCAGGAGCCCTGTGCCCCCCCCACCCCACACCCCAATCCATGCTAGGTTCTGGGGTGGGGCTCAGAAAATGTTGAAAACTTCTGTGTTAGGCCAAGCTCAGTTATCAGTCAACTGCTTGGAGCAGCTGAAGGTGCCAAGTCTCCACCCCCAAGCCAGTGCATCTCCATGGACACCCGCTTACCTGTGGCCGCTGCTTGTGCTGTGTCTGGCTCTGTGTCTGTGTCTGCTCCCAGTTCCCCCGGGCTCGGCTAGTGCCCACCGATGTCATCATTTACAGTATATACAAATAACAGTATTTACAAGGTAGAACTCTGCAAGGGCAGGGTGGGTGGAGGAGACGAGAGAACAGACGTTAGAAACTGAAAACAAAAGGCAGCACCAAGATTCTGAGCAGTGAGTGGGCGGGACACCAAAGAAAAGGTTAGACCTTGCAAAACCACTGGACCAAACTCCACTGCCAGGGATTTACAGCAAAAAGCCCCCCAGCCCTTTCCAAATGAGCGAAGCACCAGCAATATCTGACACCCCACAGTACCCGCACTGAGATACCCCGGGCTGTTCCAGCAAAGCCCCTCCTGCCTCCCCCAAATCCAAGTGACTAAGTCTTAAGTGCAGAACCACTTTTCTCCCTGGGCGGAGGCAGCCTTTAACATTCCACTGCTGAAATGCAAGAGTCTGCGGAACAGAAATGAACGTTCACCAACATGGATCACTCCAGCTATAAGGCTCAGGGGCACCTCAATGCTACCCTCATAGATGCTTTCTAAATGCCTAAAGCCCCTCAAGTCCATCAAATGAATTTCTGTTCTCGTTGCTTTCAGCCTCTGCTCCTCCCAGTTCAGCGCTCACCTCAGAGAAAGGTATGGAAGTTACTCTCCAAGCCAAGGTGCTTGGTTTGCGGGCCTAGAGGGTTTGTCTGTTTGAAACAGACAGAACTTGCATCTTCACACACAAACCCGTCTTATTTGGGCTGTGCCCCTGGTCTAGGGTTGTTAATTTTTCACCTATAATCCAACACTCTCAAAAGAAAGGTTCTAGAAAGACTGAGGGATTCCAAATCCCTTCCAAAATGCTACGTAGGAGTCAATCACTTCACCCCATTACTGACACAGGCTAGGGCACAGCAACCTGTGATGCCCGCTGACCAATCACAGCCTCTGTCTTCCTTTTCCAGTCTCTAATATGGGGGTAACAATCACCGGCTTTTGTTACTCTCTGCACTACCACAGCAATTGGGGTACCCACTGTACTGCATGCTGTACAGAAGCAGACAATCTCTGCTCCAAGCATCTTAAAATCCAAGTACAAGACAAGAGATGAACACACAGAGGGGGAACACTAGGAAACAGAGACAATCCTGGTTAACGGGAGAGATGCTGTTCACAGAACTAGAAGGGACCTCGAGACGTCAAGTCCAGTCCCCTGCCCTCATGGCAGAACCAAGCACCGTCTAGACCATAGGTTCCAAACTGGGGTGTGTGAAGAAATTCCACGGGGGCCATGAGGCAACCCAGACCCCCCTTCAATGCCCCCCAAGAAAGAGCCAGGTGCGCCCGCTTGGGCACCTGCAGCTCAGGCTGGCTAGGGCAGACTTCAAAATGGCCACCTTAAAAGAGCAATGCCTGTTCTGCTCTTAAAAGGGCATTTTGGTTTTTGGCCCCCGTCAGTCTTTTCTTTTGTTGCTCAACAAGTTTTGCTGGGGTTTTTTGGGGGAGGTGGGGGTTCTCAAAAATCAAAAAAGGGGTGTGATGCTGAAAAGTTTGGGAACCACTGGTTTAGACCATCCCTGAAGGTGTCTGTCCACCCTGTTCTTCAATATCTCCAGTGAGAAAGATTCCACAACCACCCTAGGCAATTTATTCCAGTGCATCAAGGGGCCTAACCATTGTCACGTAGGTCTCACTGCAAAGGAGGCTGACGATGGACTTTATGGAGGTTGGGGGGATGACCTGCCTCACAAGAGTAGCTGTGAGGATTAGGGTTTGTGAAATGCTGTAAAAATGCTGAGGAACACATGCATTTCTTGCTGTATTAAATGTACTGCACGCTCATGCCCAGGCAGTGGGTTTGTGCAGGGCAAAATTCACTTTCAAACCAACCTTTAGACTGGAAGAGCTAGCTTCCCTTCCAATACCTGAAACCCCTTCTCAGACAATAGTCGGGTTTTCCATGGAACGTATATCCTTGCCACTAATGTATAAGCCCGATCATTTGCTAGTAGCCTCTAACAGTATCTCTGCCTAATACCAAGCATAGTAACCTCTGGGGTTCGTCGCTCAGTAAGAACGTTTCAGGCGTCAGACTACTAGACTAATATTTTGCATTTTTAATATTGCTTAATGCCAGTTGTTGCACAAACTAGAGGATGATCCTGAAGTGAGCTCTCGGTAGACAGACCCTGGGCCTACACAGAGCCTCACTCAAGTCTGTGGGGCACTACACAGAGCTTCTGTTTTTCCTCCCTCTTTAAAGTGCTGCAGAAACTTTAATAAGAGTCAGAAAACAAAAAGCCATCTCAGGGTATTTAACAAGCCCTCCTTACACTGCACTGGATTCTTCCCCCAACATCACTTATTCGTCACTGGTAAAGCCATTTCACTACTGAGTATTTCACAGACACACAAGTTGTGTTATGAAACTAATTTGGCATCACAACTGCAGGCCCAGAAGGAAGCATTAACTGCACATTTCATACAATAACTTAAGCTGCAATTCCAATAGTTATCAGAGGGGTAGCTGTGTTAGTCTGAATCTGAAAGAACAAGAAGTAGTCCTGTGGCATCTTCTAGACTAACAGATTTATTGGAGCATAAGATTTCGTGGGCAAAGACCCACTTTGTCAGATGCATGTAGTGGAAATTCCAGAGGCAGGTATAAATATACAGGCATAAGGAAAGCGTTCCAATCAAGAGTAAGGCTAGAGATAATGAGGTCAATTCAGACAGACAGGAAGAGGCCCACTTCTAGCAGCTGATGTGGAGGTGCGAACACCAAGAGAGGAGAAACTGCTTTTGTAGTTGGCTAGCCATTCAGTCTTCGTTTAATCCTAAACTGATAGTATCAAATTTGCAGATGAATTGTAGCTCTGCAGTTGAAGTCTGTTCTTGAAGTCTTTTTGTTGCAGGATGGCTACTTTTAAATCTGCTACTGTGTGTCCGGGGAGACTGAAGTGTTCTCCTATAGGTTTTTGTATGTTACTATTCCTGATGTCTGATGTGTGCCCATTTATTCTTTTACGTAGGGACTGTCCAGTTGGGCCGATGTATATGGCAGAGGGGCATTGCTGGCAGATGGTTGCGTATATTACATTGGCAGATGTGCAGGTGCATGAGCCCGTAACGGTGTGGCTGATGTGGTCAGGTCCTGTGATGGTGTCGTTGGTGCAGATGTGGGCAGAGTTGGCACCGAGGTTTATTAAAGGGATTGGTTCCAGAGTGGGAGTTACTGTGGTGAATAGTTGCTGGTGAGAATTTGCTTCAGGTTGGTGGGTTGCCTGCGGGCGAGGACTGGCCTGCCTCCCAAGGCCTGTGACAGTGAGGGATCATTGTCCAGGATGGGTTGTAGAGCGCTGATGATGCACTGGAGAGGTTTTAGCTGGGGACCGTAGGTGACGGCCAGTGGTGGTCTATTATTTTCTCTGTTGGGCCGGTCTTGTAGCAAGAGGCTTCTGGGTATACGTCTGGCTCAGTTGATTTGCTTCCTCACTTCCTCAGGTGGGAACTGTAGTTTCCAATAGGATAGCTTCTATTGCTTTCTTTTCCTTAGCCCTTATGTAGTTACTAGGTAGTTTCAACAGATGCCATGTTCCAGTCCTGGCACAGCAGCTTTTCAGTGGTGAATTAAATAACCACTAGGTAGAAAGCTCAGCAAGCAACTATGGATAAGTATAAGTTCTGATTCCAACCCTTCAATAAGATCTGTGCAGTGCCCCACAGACTTTAATGAGGCTCTCTATAAGCCCAGGGTTCCACCTACCAAGAACTCACTTCAAGATCATCCTCTAGTCTGTGCAGCACTTTGGAGTTAAGCACTGTTAAGCACTATTAACAACGCAAAATATTAGTCCAGAAGTCAACACCTGAAACGCTAACAGACAGAAACAGGGACTGGAATCTAACTGAAGTTTCAAACAGGTATTTTAGTCACTCATTTCACCTGTATATTTCTTTTTAAATTGTAAAGCATCTTATGATTCAAAGAAGATGCTACATAAATAGAAGTTTCCTTCCATCGTGTCCCTGGGATTCTAGAATGAAAGAAACTAGAGAAATGAAAAACATTAGCAAATCAGTTTGGCTTCTGAATTACACATCAAAAAGAGAAACACTATATTTATATAGCATCAGGCAAAGCCACAGTGCTCCACAGTTATGTTAGGACATGACCACTATACTACCTCAAGGAGCTCGCAATTTAGTTGACTGTCATTTTAACGTTATGTTTTTACTTAATTTACTCTGCAGTTCCTTCTCACTTTCTGTACTTAATTACCACTGTTTTTCATTTCACAAGTAGAAGAGAGATTCCTGTCGCTGCAGGCTAGCAGGTATTTTGGAGTCTTCAGTAAAAAGGGAAGCAGAGACATGTACGACTGATAATAATCCAGGTGTTCAATCAGAAATCCTGGCTTAGGTGTGATTTGTAGAGTAGCGATCTCTCAATCAAATGCTTGATTTCCTGAAGCATTCAGAACACAAAACAGATTCAGGTGACCTGGCTTCTATTTCCAGCTCTGCCAGCCTTTCCTGGGTGACTTCAGGGGAGTCACAGCATGACTCAGCCTCAGTTTCCCTATCTATTAGAAAGAAATGGTATTTTCACACCCCCTCCATGAAGCTTAATTAACATTTGCAAAAGACTCTGAGGTCTCAGATGAAAGGCATACAGAGGGCAAAGTATTTAGAATGATTATTCTGCACTGCTGGGGAGCACACACACCGGAAAGAGCCTGGCACAGAGGGCACAGCTCGCAAAGCAGCAAGCGCGTTTCAAAGTTATGCAAAAAAATACAAGGTTCTGCAAAGTGCTTTGATATTCAAAGTGCAAAGCACTATTGAAATCTGAATGTAGTATTAGCAGACATTATTTTACTGGGAAGCTCTGAATAGATTGTTTCAAGGGCTCCATAAATACACGGTAATGCAAGATTCTGAACTGGTATGGAAGCCAATGAAATGGAATGATCCTTCAGGAGATGCAGACAGCTATAAGCACTAAATATTATTTCAAGTTGCAGCAGGTCCCAGTGAACATAATGGTAGTTCGAGCTCTGCCAAAACTAAGCTTATTCTGAATCGCTGGGGGTATGTTATCTATGGAGATGCACAGCACCACAGAAGTGTACAACACTGGATCAATTCCTTCCGTTCAGGCAGTTTCAGCCCACAGATGCGCTGGCTGATGCGGTGCTGCGCTCTGGCTCGCCTAGAGCATCAGTAAAGCCCTTCGGAGCCCACCTTAGCGAAAGGTGCCAGACACAAGCCTCTGCCCCATTGCTAGGAGCGGTCAGAAGTGTCCCTAAAACAACACGGTCTGTGGAGCGGCACTGAAACCAATCCACCGTTGCGCTATGTGCGAGGGCCCAGCCCCGAGGCAGGCGGCTGGGCAATGACGGCGCGAGCAAGGCAGCAGGGAAGTTCTCAGGGGCCTGCACAGGCCTCAGTCCGTCGGGCAGCCCCGCGAGCAGACAATGGGGCGCGCCGGGAACCGCACAGAAA